TATGCCTGAAATAAACAGTTAATTAACATATGGGGTAGTTTTAATTTGGGGGCGTCCTTAACAGACTGAAACAAAATGGTGTGCATTGACTAGGAATTTAAGAGTGCGCGCGCATGCGCGCCTCGCTATATGCGCATGGAGACTGTGGGATCTACATCTCCGCAGCCATTTCACTTATTTTACAGGTAAGAAAACAGAAACCATGAGCACGGCCAATTACATGACTTATTATTTAAAGACAGAATAGACATTCTCGCCCACTTCTTTAAAAGTCACTCTCCAAAGCGTGGTAACAAACCTTAGCCTCAGTGCGACTACGGCCCTGCACTTGGTGTGGGAGCGTGGGCCGCACTCGAGGGACCGCGTGTCCTTGGCGGGCCGCAGAAGGGCGGCTACAGCAGCATGTGCGGGTGCGGAGGAAGCCACCGACCCTCGCCCTCGGAACCCTGAAAGGCTTGGGAAGTGAGGCAGCAGTCCAGCGACGCCGCTTGGAAGGCTACACAAGGGGCAGTGGGCCAGCCTGGGTGGCACAGGATGTAGCGAACGGGGACTGCTGGGAGCGAGTCACACGCCTGACCACGGGTGCAGATCCCGGGTCGGCCCGAGACGTACCAGGCTGAGAGGCTGGGAGCTGGAGGGCTGGGCGATCAGGCCCACACCATTGCCGGTCCGCATCCTATGCTCAAGAACAATTAGAGACGCAAACAAAGGGAGAGGAGAGGGAGTAGGCAAAGCTCATCAGGAGAGAGGCAAAGCTTCCAGCTGAGTGAAGGGCCTGGCTGGGTTGCCCAAGAGGAGCCAGGTAAGGGGCTTCCATCCCAGCAAGGAAGGGCCTATGCAGGCATTCCCTCAGGGGGGTTACGTGTCAGACGATCCACGTCATTCGCCTACCTGGGAGTGGGCTCACAAATCACAAGACTTTAGACAGACCTCAGTTCGTTAATACTCAGCAAATGTTGAGGCCTGTGGCCCGTCCCACTATCTGAGATGACTTTGACATAGCCTCCCCTTGCATTTCTGAACTGTAAACTCATCAAGATCCCCTCACCTCGCAGGTGCAAGTCTACGTGCCCGTCCCCATCTCTCGGGTGATAGCGTGTGGCAAGTTATTGCTCAAGGTCCGTGGCTCTCTTGCCCTCCAGACGGAGAGAGGCTACACCCTTCGGAATGTAGCAGTGCTACGGAAAATGTGCGTTTTAGCTTCCGTTATCTCCGGCAGGCTGTGAGCAGCTCCGACGGTAAGCAGGCCTCCATGTGAGCAAGCCGTGCGGGCTCGTAATTGATTTCTGGGAGAGCAGTGAATGGCTTTATTAAAAGCTTGGCCAGAGTGACTCCATCTTGTAATCGGCTCTATACCCTAACTAGTGTGCGTGCCTGTCTCCTACCTCAGTGAGACCCTGTCGAGGGTGCTTTCTTTCTCTTTCTCTCACTCTCGTGTGTGCACACACATTCTCTATTATAAAATTCTAATGGGGGTGCTGTCTGTCTCTCTCACTCATGGAGGAAATAAATAAATAAGCTTAAAAATAAAAAGAGTGGGCTGGCAGGTAGCATGCTGGTTAAGGACGCAGGACTCCCACACGGCCTACCACAGTTCAGGTCCCAGACCTGAAGGCTTGCTACCTCTCTCTCTCTTTCTCTCTCTCTCTCTCTCTCTCTCTCTCCCTCCCTCTCTCCCTCCCTCCCTCTCTCCCTCCCTCCCCTCATTCTGTCCCTCTCTGGTCAAATTAAAATAAATAAATAAAAAATAATAATTCTTTTTTATATAAACATTTTAAATAAATAAAGAATGCTTCAAACTTCAGATCCCCACCTGTACAGTTGAGCAACAATACTTCTTCCACCCTCACCCAAATACTGAACCGGAAGGTTCCAGACTGGGGCAGCAAGCACAGAGAAGGTGGGATGTGGTATCTTACCAAAACCTGGAGAATTAAATAAAAATACAATTTTAAAAACAGTGAAAACTTCAAGCCCCTATGCCTGCCCAGACTGAGCATGCTAAAAGCCCATCCTTTTACCCCACGAGAAGGAAGGTGGGAAAAATCCTTTTTCTGAGAATTGTTCCAGATTAAAAATCTATGGAAACTTGCACGTGGAGAGAAAGACTGCGGCCACCTCGATGGCCTCCACTGGTTTTAAGTCCGTGCAAGCGCGTCGATCCCACCGGCGCAGGCCGAGGCGGTCAGACAGCCCACCACCGTGAAGATGAAGGTGAGGCCTGCCCTGCTGGCCAAGTGTATTTATGTACGTTTGCGAGTGCACAGCGTCTGGCAGATCGCAGGTGCTTGCGACGCGTCCACAGGACTCTTACGCAGGATGGAATTTGTACCTTTCTTTCCCTCCAAAAGTAAACAAATGCTTACCCTCACAGTGCACCTTCAAGGGTAGGTGGAGTGCTTGGTGGTGTGGTTACTGCCCTTCCCATAGTTGTCTTTTTGGTTTTTTCTTTTAAAGGTTTTTTTTTGCAATAGGGTGTGTGCACTTGCCAGGGAGAGAGAGAGAGAAAAAGAGAGAGAGGAGAGCGCAAGTGAGAAATCATCCTTCAGAGGGGATGGCCATGCCTCAATCCCTTCTCCTTCATTCTCCTCCTAGGATTTGGGGCATGCATGCGTACGCACTTGGCATGGGTTTCAACACACCACGTCCGGGACTCAAACCATGATTGGTCATGTGGGAGTTCAGTGCCTTAACCACTATGCCACCTGCTGCCTCCATAGTTGTCTCTGAATAAAGAGGACAGACTATGTCCCTAGCAGCTTCATGAGGGAAGTGTGGAGCATGAGTAATGCTGACACTGGGCAACTTGTCACTGTAGCACACTCACGGGCAGTGACACCGACCATGCCAAGGGACCGAGACTCTTTAGATGCACACTCTCCACTGCAGATGTGGCCCTCTTAACCGCTGTCTACATAGACCTTCTGGAAAGAGACCCTGGGTCAAAACAAATAATTTGCAAATTGGATAATCCTTCATGCTATTAATTAACATATTTGCCCAATAATAATGAACCAAAAAGGGGAAATGTTTTGTAATTCAATTAAAGAAAGCGTGGGGCGGTGTTTCTAAGTAGGTATCGCTCACCAGTGTAAACAGTAGAGGGCAGAGATCAACGTAGACATGAAGCCCTTTCCCTCCCTGTTACTGACCCGAGTCCTGAAGGGTCCACAGAGGCCTTGCCGCGGACATCTGTGACCTCACCCTGCACTCCTCCTTGCTCATGTAACAGGCCTGCTGGCACTTCCTGCTGCATGACCGGCTGGTTCACACAGACCGACTGCAGCCCCAAGGCTAGGGGTAGCCATTCGACCTTGAGGGCCATCTGCCCCAAGCACAGCAGTTACTGAGGCAAAGAGCACATGACCAGGTGAGAGTAGGTCTAGGCCTCTGGCCGTGAGCACCGGGCTCCGCTTGGACTCAGGAAGATCTGAGACTCAGCTGCTGGGGAGCTGCCTGGGCAGGAAGCACATCCGAGAGGGAAACCCGACCCTGGAGGGCGCAGCAGGCTGGGAAGCGTGATACAGTTCTCTTCACGTCCGTGTGCTGGGTCTAGCCATGCCCGATCCGGAAATACCCTGGGCTCGGCAGGCTTGATCCAGAGAGGGCCCTGCCTTGCTTGAGCTAGTTCCCGTTGGGTTTTTATCCTTGAACTACAAAAACTCCAGCGAATACAGTTGTGCACTCCTATGTAGGTATATTTCAGACAAAACGTGCATAATCTAGTCCCCTGCCTTAGATCAAGCAGGCTAAACAACCTGCCTCCCCACCTCCACCGCAGACACATAGATATCTCACAGCTGAAGTCATCCCGCCCAAGTAGACTCCGGCACAAATATATACATTAGTAAGAGAGCCAAGGCGTTCTTTTTCCTCTCGGACTCCCCAGCATCAAGCCTACTTAATGTGTGAGAGGCACTAGTGTTAGCTAAATGACTGGAAAATGACAAGCTGAGGAAGCGATGAGTCCCAGACCTTGTCTAACATGGAGCCAGAGGTATGGATTCTCTGTATAATCATTAATCCTCATTTAATGATTTCCAGGAACGGATGGAAACTCCCAGCCTCCTCCAGTGGAAAACTAGTCAATTAGCTTGATCTAAGCCAGGCAGAATGTGCCTGTAAGGGTCTCGGTGCTGGGCCAGAGATCAGGAGAAATCAAGTCAAATGGCATGGTTTTTGAAACCTAGGACTTTATTGGCGAGTGCAGGTAAGATGGGGTGGGGGCAACAACGCTGCAGGAGGCGTGAATGGGTACCTCGTCATGGACTGGGGAGGCAAAGAAACACTGTCCTCTGCTCCAGCTCCCGCCCCACGGAAGCTTTGTGCAGGACTTCTGTGGCAGAAGGGAACCGTTTGCACTAGCACGAGACCTCAGCTCCACTGAGGTTTGCTGGTCCACTGCTGGCAAGGTCACATGCCCGAACTTTCCGCACTAAAGCTGAAATCTGGTCCTGTTGGAGCATGCCGGCGCCTCCCCTGAACACTAGGTCCCTGTGGTATGCAAGCTCTTCGTGTCTCAGGGCACAGTGGTCACTTGCTTGTGAATCTTCTTTACGCTAATCAAAAAAAAATTACTTTTCCAGAAACTCCTCACCTGAGACTGAGTCTCTTCATACTTCTGAGAGTTCTCTAACTATACATGGATTTGTCACCAATCATTGAAATCATTGGCCAAGCAATTTTCTGTGTTGGGTGTTGTACTTTCTATACATTATGATGCCTGAACTCATAGCAACAGTACATGATACGATAGAACATCATTTATCTGAGAATTCAGATATTGTAAACATTCCAGTAACTAATTTACTCATAGGGAAAGAAGAAGAAGGCTTTTATGATCAGCCCTCTGTAGTCACACAGCGCAGTAACAAGATGGCCTTGCAGCAGTGCACTGTGCTAAGAGGTGGTGTGAACCCCAAGGCTACAGAAGACAGGACGGTGGGGACAAATGGCAAGGTGGTGTTGGTCGTGAAAGGAGACTAGAAAATTATTCTTCTGTGCTCGCCTTGGCAGTGCGTATGCTAAAATTGGAGCAATACCGAGACTACCATGGGCCCTGTGCAAGGATGACACGCAAATTCATGTAGTATTCCATCCTTTTTATAAAACAAAGAAATTATTCTTCTGAGACTCTTCAGCGCCATGAAATTTTCATAAATCCCATGGAACAAAATGTACTCACTGGCAAGCGAAAGTACCTCCAGATGTGTAGGTTAGGAGCGAGCGTTAACAATGAAGGATGGTGCAAGCCAACAGCGCATGGCCTGACCCTTGCCAGACACCTGCCGCACCCTCTCCTCTGCAGCTCCCAGCGCAAAGCAACCCATGATGGGCAATCTTCCCAAACACCTTTGTGCAGGTCAGGAACAAACTTCATGTGTTTAATGTAAAGTTTGACCTTAAAAAAATTATTAGATTTGTTTTAACCAGTTTTCAGGAAATGAGCATGGTTTACAAATCCAGCAAAAACTTTGTAGGCCAAATATGTTAATTACAGATTACATTTTCCTCAATGACTACTTAGGTCTTGCATATTTTCCTTTTATAGGCTAGCGAGGTATTTCCATTCGATGCAAAACTTTCACAGATATGCAAGAAATTCTTTAAGCAATTTGCCTGACATGTATTTCAATGATTCTAAAGGACAGCTACACATTTCAGATTTGTTTCTTACCATGTTTGACATTTCAGCGTATATACCAAAAGCACCAGAATGGAAATCCCCTCTAAATCACTGTCTTCCTTTAGAGCTGATATCTTTAGTCAGAAACATTCCTCTAGCGTGGGTAAGGCTCTGATGGTCTAAGAAGATACTTACTTCTAGGTATTAGCATTCACGTTTTGCATAGATGAGGAAATGGAGTCTCAGAGAGGTTAAGTAACTTGCCCAAGGTGAAAAAGGTCCCAGGTGACTGAGCCAAGATTCAAGTCCTGTCTCTCAGATAACAAAGTCCACGCCCTTCGCTAGAACAATGGTGAGAAGTGCAAAACAGCTGGCCTGGCAGCACCCATGTGAATGCAGCGTCTTGCACTAGACGTGTCGGTGCACAGCAGGTGTACTGGAACATGAGCCCAGGAGGCCGCGGGTTATCTGTTTTGTTCGCTCCTGTAGTTCTAGAACCTTTGACAGTGACTAATACAGAGCCTCTAAATACATTGTCAGAGGACAAATGGAAAATGGATTATCACTTCCCTTCACTTACTGTCAACACACCTAACTCTTAACTTGTTTAACAATGAGAGGATAACAGAGGTTTTTATTCCAGTTACATCTGATTAAAATGCTTAGCTTTTTTTCCACAAGCCAATGGTAAGACACAAGTCATCACGCAATTGCAAAGTGTTTTCACAGTAATATCTATTTATTCATATATCCAAAATACACCATCATATCGGGTGTCTGAGATCCCTCAGTGAGCAGAACGGAAAGCCCTGCCCTTGTGGAGCTTGCGTTCTAGCCGGGAAGAGAGAGCTGACCAGTAAGTAAACAGTAAAGTACGCTGGGAAATATACGTGCCATGTTAGGGCCGGTCAGTGGCGTGGTGGTTAGGGTGGTGGACCCCACATGCCGGCTGTGGTGCAAGTCCCTGACCTGTCAGGCTGGAAACCACACTGGGCTTGCACGCATCCGTGCCCCAAATCTCAGGAGCAGATAGGAGAAGGTATTGTGGCATGGCCACCCTAGCCCCGAGGGGGTGAGTTCTCATTTTTTTCTCTGTCTCTCTGGGAAGCATACAGGCCCAAAGGCAAAAACTAAAAGTAAATAAGTGTTGTGTTAAAATTTTCAAAACTAGAGCAGGATCAGAGGCAGCAGACTAAACACAATGATCGTTTAATACTGTGCTGAGTGGACCTGGCTGAGAAGGCGTCACCTGAGCAGGTGACAGAACTGGGCAGGCAGGTGTCTGGTGCGTCAGCGCATGCGTGGGGAGGCTGCTGCACTGGAGCCAGGTGAGCAGGCCAGTGGAGGAGGTGAAGTGGAGAGGGAAGGGCGGAGCAGGGAGAGCCGTGGGCACTGCGTTACTCCAAATGGAACAAACAGGGCAGGGTTCTGGCTAGACTGAGGGCCCCAATGCAGAGGCCGAGAGAACAGGAGACGTTTGTTGCGGCGATCTGGCTGGAGGTGGTGGCGGCAGACCAGGGCGGCCACTTCGGATGTAGCCCAACCCTGCTGTCAGCTTGAGTAGGTGGGCTGGTCGTGCAGTGTGGGAGAGAGACAACACTGAGATCTTTGGCCTGAAAACCTGCCAGGAGAAAGTGCCGTTGATGGACGTGGGGCCACTCCGGGTAGAGCAGATCCGGGAGCAGGGAAGACGTTTCTAGGCAGGTAAGAGCCAGGCATCGGGCGACGAGGGCCAAATCAGACATGCACGTTTGGAAATCACGGGTGACACAGCCACGGCTTTAGCTGAAAGCCGTGAAACTACTAACGGGTGATCGTCAAGGCGATGAACGAAGGAAGGGAGGAGAAGAAAGCCGAGCCACCCACAGGGCCGGTCGTGTTTCCAGTCGCCCCCGGGGAGGACACGAAGAGGGGAAACCAGTGGAGACTGAGAGCAGGAGCCAGTAGGCCAGGGGAAGCCAGCAGGCCCCGGAAGGCAGGGACAGACCGCGCACCACCGAGAGAGAGAGAGAGAGAGAGAGAGAGACGCTTTGCGTGGAGGGAGCAGCCCCCAAAGTCCAACCACACCGCTGGAATCCTGGCCCCAGTGGCTTGGAAAACATGCCAGGCACGTGTGTGCATGTGTGCGTGTGCGTGAGTGCCCAGAATCCTGATAAGGTGTAGAAATGGAGGAGAGCACTTACAGCTCCACCAATTTCCACCGGGAGTGGGAAGTGTCCTCTCTCTCTCTCTCTCTCTCTCTCTCTCTCTCTATCTTTCCCCCAACCCCACCACCCCCACCTCTGTGCACTCTGGCAGTGGAAGAAAGAGGAGAGAGAGAGAATCTTGATAGAATTATGGGAGCAAAATCCTGATGAGACTATGTTTAATACAGAATGAGGAGAGAAAATAATAGATACTATGAAATAAACAGCTTGGAGGAGTTTTGCTGCAAAAAACAGGGGCAGAAATAAGATCTAAAGGTGTTTTGGGCCACCTAGGTAGCGTGGTGGTTAAGCTGGCTGGTTCCCCACGGCTGACTGAGCGGTTCGAGTTCCAGATCCGGCAGCCTGAAAAACACACAAGGAACATGTGCATGCGTGCCCAAAATCTCAAGAGGAGAATGAAGACGGGATTGTGGCATGGCCACCCCTCTGGAGAGTGATTTCTCACTTTCTCGCTCTTTCTTCCTCTCTGCCAGAAATATGTGCTCTCTAACAAAGAAGAAGGGGGAGGAGTTTCAAAGAAAAAGGAAAAAAATACATGTTTGCGGGGGCTTTTTGTTGTTTTATTGTTGTTTTTGTTTTTTGTTATAGGGCACATGCACTTAACAAAGAGACAGAGAAGGGAATGGGGAGAGAGAGAGACAAAGTGAGAAACCACCCCAGATGGGGTGGACATTCCACAGCCCTTCCTCCCCCACAGTCCTCTCAGGATTTAGGGCACACATGCACATCCACCCTGCATGATTTTCAAGTCACTGGGTCCAGGACCCAAACCAGCTCAGTCAGCCTGGGATCCAGACATGCCAACTTTTTTTTTCCTTTTTCTTTTTCTTTTTTATTTTTCATTTCATTTTCTTTTATACATTCAATCACATTATTTCTCTTACAAAGTAGATATTTCAATAGGTGAACATTTCTCCCTAGTACAGATGATAAAACTACGAAATATCTTCAACAGATGATAAATACCACACCTCTTTGTGCCATTCATGCTTTGCCTCCCTGTCCCTCCCCCAGATGTCCTTCCTCAGACCCTGCTCTTCCACACACACTATATCTGGTATTTACATCTATATACTGCGTTTCTATGACCTTTAGTCAGTTAGTTTCAGCCCTAGATATCTCAACTTTTACACCACCTGCCGGCCCGTAGCATGTTTATATGCTGTGAATGTCACATAGTAGAGAGTGAAAAGAATTATTGTATGAAATCTCAGAATTTCTGCAATAATGTTCTTGAATAAACAAGATGGGCAGGGTCCAGTGCATAGTGGTGGCTGCGTGCTGGGTGACAAACACCCATCTCTGAAGAAACAGGGAAGATGTATGCATGCAGAGGAGGAGATGTGGACATTCTCTTTGAGCTGCTTATATCAGCTCAGTGAGGAAGAGGGAAGGCCATCAGCTGAGATTGAGAATGAGGACGAGGGCCAGCAGACGGCATAGCGGTTGTGTGGCTGGGCTTCCACATGGCCCACCACGGTCTGAGTCCTGGACCTGGTGGTTTGAAAACCATGCCAGATCTTGCACGCATTCCCAAGATCCCGAGAGGAGAATGGAAAAGGGATTGCGGCATGACCATCCTCCCTGGGGTTGGGATGGGGTGCCTTCTCACTTTCCCTCTCATTATCTATGTCTGTCTGGCAAGTCCACACACCCTAAGGCAAAAACCTCTCAAAAAAATAAAATTGAGGAGGAGATGACAGCATTTGAGGAGAGAGAAGTCTCCAGTGGCCACCTGAGCAAGTTGAAGGGGAGAGGGATCAAGGATATGAAACAGCTGGCAGCGGCGTTAAGGCCCCCTTCAGGTCGATGGTTGCCATGATGTGAGTGTTCCCCCAAATCAGTGTATTGCGATTTGGTTGCAAAGGTATTCAGAGGAAACTTAATACCTTCATGGTGTTGGATTAGGGTGAGGCCCCTGTGATTGACTCCCAGTGGGCTTATAATGACAAGGCTTGAGACAGACAGACTGATGGAAGGATGGATGGATGGATGGATGGATGGAGGGAGGGAGGGAGAGAGGGAGGGAGGGGCGGGCACAGCTGCTCTGCTCTTCCCTTGGAATGTGATACCTGGCACCTCCTCAAGACATCCACCTGACGTGGGCCCTGGACCTTGCACCTCCAAGCCATGAGCTGAATAAATCTCTACTTCATAAACACCCAGTTTCAGGTATTTTCTGCTATGGGCCACACAATGGGCTGAAACAAAGGCCATGAGTGGAAAGTGGAGTGGGTCGGCATGACTTTCTCTGACATGTGCCTCTGCAGA